TTTTTTTTTTTTTTTTTTTTAGAGAGAGGAAAGGGCAGAGAGAGAGAGAGAAACATTGATGTGAGAGAGAAACATCCATTGGCTGCCTCCTCAACATGCCCCAACTGTGCATCGAACCTGCAACCTGGGCGTGTGCCATGACCGGGAATCGAACCCACCGCCTTTTGCTGTACAAGCTGATGCTCCAACTGAGCCACACAGGCCAGGCCTTCAGATGCTTTCTGATGAAATCACCACCACTTTGCTTAGTTTCTCGTGGCTCCCAATCTCTGTTCATAATCAGAGTGGATTTGGGGACCAGAACAATAAAAACGATGTATCAGAGGCCCATTAGGATAGTACTATATGTTTTTTAATTTGAGTTTTGCAACAATTAAATAGCGTCAGGAGAGAGAGAGTGGGGGGGGGCGAAGAAAATAAAAGGGGTTCGTACATGAAAAGACACAGAGGAAACTTAAATGCATATTTCTCGGAGGAAAAACCAATCTGAAAAGGCCACGGACTCTGATTCCAACCCTTGGATATTGTGGAAATGGCAAAATTATGGTGTCAGTGGAAAAAAAATCACTGGCTGCCAGGGGTCGGGGGGAGAGAGGGGTGAATAGATGGAGCACAGGGACGTTTTGGGGGCAGTGGAACTGCTCTAATGGTGGCTATGTGTCCTTGTGCATTTGTCCGAACCCACAGAACGTACCCCACCAAGATGAACCCTAATGTCTACTGTGGACTTTAGTTAATAATGATGTGTCCATACTGGCTCATCAACGATCCCAGAGTCACCGCAGCCATTCGAGATGCTAAAATTGGAAACTGCGTACAGGGGACCTGGGTGTCCCTCTGGCGTCCCACTCCGTTTATCCGCGATGAGACACGTTGGACGGACGGGAATTTAAATGACAAAACTAACTAACTAAAAAACAGAAACAGACTCATAGATACAGAGAACAGACTGATGGTCTCCGGATGGGAAGGGGGCTGGGGGGCTGGGTAAAAAAGGGAAAGGGAGCCCCGGCCAGTGTGGCTCAGTTGGCTGAGCTTCGTCCCATGAACTGAAAGGTTGTGGGTTCGATTCCTGGGTCAGGGCACAGGCCCGGGTTGCGGGCTCGATCCCCGGTTGGGGGCATGCAGGAGGCAGCCGATCAATGACTCTCTCGTCAGTGATGTTTTTATCGCTCTCTCCCTTCCTCTCTCTGAAATCAATAAAGATATTTTTTTTTTAAAAATTAATACAGCCCGGCCGGGCGTAGCTCAGCGGTTGAGCGCCGACCTAGGATCCGGGCGATCGGGGTTCAATTCCCGGTCAGGGCACATGCCCAGGTTGCAGGCTCGATCAATGACTCTCTCATCATTGATGTTTCTGTCTCTCTCTCTCCCTCTCCTTTCCTCTCTCTGAAATCAATAAAGATAGATTTGAAAAAAAAAAATTAATACAAAAAACTTAAAAAAATAAATAAAGTCTATTAAAAATGTTATAAAGCCAGGCCGGACGTGGCTCAGCGGTTGAGCGTTGACCTAGGATCCAGGAGATCGGGGTTCGATTCCCGGTCAGGGCACAGGCCCGGGTTGCGGGTTCGATCCCCAGCCCGGGGCCTGCAGGAGGCAGTCGATCAATGACTCTCATCCCTGATGTTTCTATCACTCTCTCCCTCTCCTTTCCTCTCTCTGAAATCAATAAAATATATTTAAAAAAAACAAAACAAAACAAAACCATTTATATATTAAAAAAAATGTTATAAAATCTGCACGTTCAAAGGCAAAGCTCTCTGTTCAGTCCACAGGCCCAGTTTAGGTGGCGTCTTCGGGCCCACGGCCGTTTACGTCCCTGATGCTGTTTCTGGTTGGTTGATGCTCTTGTTCCTGGAGCTGTGACGTGAGGCCTGGTTTTACATCCTACGGATTTCCACCCTCCCGCCCCGCTCGGTTCCTCTGGGCTCAGCCCTCCTCTCTCTCCGCGGCGCCGAAGACTTCAGCCTTTTAGCCGCGTTTCCTATTTTATGTTGAGGCTCCTCTATCTCCTTTACTGCCCACGATCCCTGTTTTCTGTAATTCCTTTGGGTAGCTGGACTCTGTGGGTCTAAACAGGGCCTGGGGGATTAGTTTTCTAGGGCCTGTTGTTGCAAATGACCGCAAATAATTTCCTTCCTTCCTTCCTTCCTTCCTTCCTTCCTTCCTTCCTTCCTTCCTTCCTTCCTTCCTTCCTTCCTTCCTTCCTTCCTTCCTTCCTTCCTTCCTTCCTTCCTTCCTTCCTTCCTTCCTTCCTTCCTTCCTTCCTTCCTTCCTTCCTTCCTTCCTTCCTTCCTTCCTTCCTTCCCCTTCCTTTCCAGTCCCGTCCAGCGTCTGCCCTTCAGGGTCCCAGCCATCACGCCCCCCACCCCTGCCCCTCACCAGGGGGGTTCCTCTGACCTCTCTGGAGCCCCCCTGTCCACCTACCAGACCCAGCACCCCACTGAAGGCTGCCCCACAGAGCCCGGTCCTCGTTCTAAGTGGGGTCCCCTCCTGGCTGACAGCCCTTTGCGTGCGTCGCCTGGGTGACATCAATGCCTATAGGCGACTCCCAAGCTCCCATGGCCTGCATCTCAAGCACCTGCTCCCGTGGGTCCCACCCGGGCCCACCAGCCCCAGGCCACCCGTCTCTCTGGCCCCCGAGCCGTCTCTTCTCAGGCGTCCCCTGCGCCTCTGCAACATTAAATATTAACAGAGCACCATTTGTTCCATGTTTAAACGCCCCCCGTTTCCCCACGGACCTGCCTCCCTTCCCACCAGCTCCTCTAGACCCTGACGCCGTTGCTGGCCCTGGGCTTTTACCGCTTTCTGCTTGTTGCCGGTGGACAACGGGGACATTCCCACCCGCTCCCCAGCTCAGGTGTGTGCACCTGGGGGGCACCGCCCAGCCTCCGACCCCTGCTCGCAACCTCCCTGAGCTCGCCCCCTCCCACAATTCAAACCAAAGGGGAAATTCAAGCCACACATCCCACGCGTTCCAGCATCTTCGCGTCCCAGGGAGCTGGTGCTTGCTCGATGGGGAAGCAAGCACCTGTTTCCTGCATCTTCGGGCAGCTAGGCCCACCCCACCCAGCCTTCCTCCAGGCCTTGGCAGGGGTCCCTGCTCCGGGGACGCTCGGGGATGATGCCCCTTTGCGAATCTCGCCTTTCTCGGGCCCAGATTTCCACATGTGCCATTTGTACAAATGCCCCTTGGAGCTGAGGTGCCCTTGGTCAGCTTGGGGAGGACCAGGGAGGGGGGCCCTGGGCTGGGACATCTCAGGCCTCTTGGGCTGTAGCCCCACATCCCTCATGTTTCTTTCATTCCTGTCAAGTTCCTGGGCCCTTGTTTTCCTTTCTCAGAGGCCGCCACAGCCACCTCAGCCTCGGGGATGGCCGTGGGCGTCCGCGGATATGCGTCCACTCC